TTTTTTTCTCACCAGAAAACGTTACGAGCCATGCTGGTATATACTCCTTGCCACAGTTTGGCAGAAAGAATCAAACTTCAGAGACTTCTCCGACCCGTTGTAGACACCATTCTAGTCAAGTGTGCAGATGCCAACAGGTAGGACTTACTGATGAGCTGCTTGCAGCCATCTGATTTTAGATGTGTCTCGCGTGGCCCCTCACACTGTATGCGTGATGTATTTAATGAGAGAGTGTCTGAGTATTGTTTTCTAATGTGACATTTCAAATAGTAATTCTTTGAAAAAAGCAATCTTAACGATTACGAGAGAAGAAATGATGGCAAGTAATAGTCACAATCGCAGACTTCCGAGACCTCCACACTGTCACTCTGCTGTGATCGAGCCCTCCTGTGTTAAAGTAGCATTTGTTATCTGAGGGCCGGTTGGTAAGAATAGTAACTTAGAAAATGAGATCACACGAGCTAGTATTCAGTGAGATAAATCATTGTGTTTATTATTACACCTTATATTTTCTGGATCTAAACAAAAAGAAGAAAAGCCCTGTTCACATTCAGAATTTCCCTGAAACTTGATCTAAAACAATAACTATAACTGAGGGGTGGGGGGATTTATGACTTTACAGTGCCAATAAAAGTAAGAATAGTGAAAGCTTAAAGGCTGCGCTTTTATTCGCCTACCTGTGGTTCTCTCTTATTTTCCCCTAACATAAAATCTAGGAAATGTTTCATTTATAAGCATAATCACTAACAGCCCAAAGGTAGGAACAGCCAATAAGTGAATAAACAAAGGATGGTGTGTGCATGTAATGGAATGTTACTCAACCATAAAAAACGTTTTGATGCACCTGTGGATGAGCCTGAAAGCATGGTCAGTAAAATGAGCAGACCAAAAAAGATTAATGTTGTATGATCCTGCTTATATGAAGTACCTGAAATAGAAGAAAAGCATTAAGACAAAAGTAAATTAGTTACAGGGGGGGAAGAAGTGATAGTTTTTATTGGGTGGAGGGGGTGGATCACAAAACATGAAACAAAAATATAGCCTCACTAAAAACTTTAAAGGAGCTCTAGTGGCACTCTGAATTAGACATGGGCCAGGTAACTGCAAGGGCAGCAGTTCAAACCCACCAGCTGCTCCTTGGGAGAAAGATGAGGCTAACTGCTCCCATCTTGGAAACCCTTTACAGGATCACGCTGAGTCAGAATCCGCTCACTGGCAGCGAGTTTGGTTTGTGGTTAGGAACCACTGTAAGGCCAATCGAAGCAAATACTTATAGTCACATATTGGGGTGGGGGGAGAGAGAAGCATAGCCCCAATAAACAGTTGATGGGCAGTGCGTGTGTTTGCATCCCAGCAGTTCTCGGTTGGTGAGAAGAGCCAAATCCCTCGGGGCTGGCCTCCGCCACTGCACCATTCGGAGCTCTCTAGTCGCGGCTCTCTTCCTCCCCACATCTGATTAGACATATTAAGAGGTCTCATTACTGTTAAAGAGCAAATCACAAAATACATGGGAAAACTTAACAGAATGCATAGGGGGGGGGAAATCATACCATTTTTCAATGTTAGAGTGTGTACATTTCTGTGAAATCCTGAAGTTTATAGTTGTTTACCTGGTCACTTGAGTGACTGAACAAGTAAGAAATATACTGTAAGAGTTTATGATAGTTGGAACTCACTCTGGCTGTATAGAAGAGTGTAAGGGTTTTGAATGGAAAGGTTCTAATATAAGAGATTGCTAGTGAAAATTCAGAATGCAAAATATCTGAATTTGAGTCTTTTCTACAAGCTAGGTATGGAGAGAGAGAGAGGAAAATAAGCTTTTTGTCTGGTTTGATATTTAAATCAATACTTGCTGTCCAAGAATCAGTAAGGTAAACTTTTTCAAATGAGACCTAATCATTAATACAGTGAGTAGCATATTAATGATTTTCATGGTGGGAAAGGAACTTGTCCTGAAAAGACTGAACCTGATCTATCACAAGGCCATCCCATTCCTACCCGCCAGCTGCTGCACATTCTCTCCTGGATGCAGAATTAATGTTTTGTCCCCCTCATTTTCAGCCGCACCAGTCAGCTGTCCATATCAACACTGCTGGAATTATGCAAAGGCCAGGCAGGAGAACTGGCAGTTGGTAGAGAAATACTCAAATCTGGTAATGACTTTTTACCTAAAATGAATCTAGCATGTTTTAGTGTTTTACCTGCTCATCTTTAATTGACAGAATTTTAAAATAATTTTATAGATTGACTCAAATAATTTAATGTTGCAAATGTGAGTTATTCTAAGAGAAAAACTCTTAAAATCAATACAGATTATTTTTGTTTGGTCACGTCTTAAGTTTAGATTTTAATATCATAATTTTTAATTACTTGTACTTCCCTTTTTGTAGGATCCATTGGTATTGGCGGTGTTGATTATGTCTTAAATTGCATTCTTGGAAACCAGATTGAGTCAAATAATTGGCAGGACCTCCTGGGCCGCCTTTGTCTTATAGATAGGCTGTTATTGGAATTTCCTGCTGAATTTTACCCTCATATTGTCAGTACTGATGTGTCACAAGCTGAGCCTGTTGAAATCAGGTAACTTTTCTTCTGAACGTTACTGCTTATCTTTCCCTACCTCTACCCCCCCCTTCTTATTTCCATTTTGGCTGTTCTGTGTTGTTTCCAAATGTTTTACAGTCATTTGAACTTACCTAGTCCTTGACTGTGGTTTCTTTCTTCTTGCAGGTATAAGAAGCTGCTGTCCCTCCTAACCTTTGCTCTGCAGTCCATTGATAATTCTCACTCAATGGTTGGTAAACTCTCCCGAAGGATATTTTTGAGTTCTGCGCGAATGGTTACTGCAGTTCCCCGTGTGTTTTCAAAACTCTTAGGGATGTTGAGCGTTTCCAGTTGCACTCACTTCGCCAGGATGCGCCGCCGTCTCATGGCCATTGCAGATGAGGTGGAGATTGCTGAAGCCATCCAGCTGGGCATAGACGCCACTTCAGAGGGTCGCCGTGACAGCTTTTTGCAGGCATCGGCCTCTAACAGCCACCCAGAAACCCCAGAGAACGGTTCCCTTGAACATACAGGCCATGGAGAGAAAACTGGAAAGGGACTGTGTGCTGCCAAGTTGAGCGCCAGTTCAGAGGACATTTCTGACAGACTGGCCGGCGTGTCAGTGGGACTTCCTAGTTCAGCAACAACAGAGCAACCGAAGCCACTGGTTCAAACGAAAGGCAGGCCCCACAGCCAATGTTTGAACTCATCTCCTTTGTCTCTTCATTCCCAGTTAATGTTTTCATCCTTGTCCACCCCTTCTTCATCTGCCCCATCTGTACCAGCTGGCACTGTACCAGATGGCTCTCCGCATAGACCTCAGGGATTCACTCCCTGTAAAATACCTTCTGCATCGCCACAAACCCAGCGCAAGTTTTCTCTGCAGTTCCAGAGAAACTGCTCCGAAAACAAAGACTCAGATAAACTTTCCCCGATCTTTACTCAGTCAAGACCCGTGCCCTCCAGTAATATACTCAGGCCAAAGCCATCCCGACCCACCCCAGGCAATTCAACTAAACAGGGAGATACTTCAAAAAATAGCATGACGCTTGATCTGAGCAATACTTCGCAATGTGATGACGGCGTGGGCAGTAGCAGCAGTAGTAATGCTGTTATACCCAGTGATGAGACGGTCTTCACTCCGGTAGAGGAGAAGTGCAGATTAGACGTCAATACCGAGCTTAACTCCAGCATTGAGGACCTTCTGGAAGCATCCTTGCCTTCAAATGACACCACGGTAACTTTTAAATCTGAAGTTGCTGTCCTGTCGCCTGAAAAGGCTGAAAATGATGATACATACAAAGATGATGTAAGTCATAATCAGAAGTGCAAAGAAAAGATGGAGGCTGAAGAAGAAGAAGCGTTAGCAATCGCCATGGCAATGTCAGCCTCTCAGGACGCCCTCCCCGTAGTTCCTCAGCTGCAGATTGAAAATGGAGAGGACGTTATCATCATTCAGCCAGACGTAAGTACAGGGAGTCTTTAAACGATTACAGAGTTTTCATGGACGGTGCTAAATCTGATTCAGAAAATGCTGCTTTTCACGTGAATTCTCTGTTGTAAGGCTTTGCGCAGTGAATTACTAGTTATATCAAGGAACCCTGGTGGCATAGTTAGGCATTGGGTCAAGTGTTGGACTGTTAACCACAAGGTTGGCGATTCAAACCCACCAGCTGCTGCTGCTCGGTACAAAGATAAGGTGGTCTGGCCCCATAAGTCTGCACCGTCTGGGAAACGTTAAGGAGCAGTTCTACTCTGTGAGTTGGAATCAGGTTGCGGGCAGAGTTTGGTTGTGTCACTGAGCAGAAATATTCCTTGGGAATTTTGAAGACATTTTGGATTGTGTAATGTGGTGATCACACCTGCATTTGGCATTGGTCACCAATACTGTCCATTCAGAGGACAAGTTTGGCGGTGGTTTGGGAAACTAGACTGAAGTTACATTTTGCCAGTAAAAATATTGCTTCCATCTAACATGTAGACACCAGAGACGCTGCCAGGACACACCAAAGCAAAACAGCCATACAGAGAAGACACGGAGTGGCTAAAAGGCCAGCAGATAGGCCTGGGAGCATTTTCTTCTTGTTATCAGGCTCAAGATGTGGGAACTGGAACTTTAATGGCTGTCAAACAGGTAACCATCTAGGCTGCATATAGGTGAAATGACTAGAATTATAAAATGAGACGTGAGCAAGTAAGAAGCTTTCTATATACTACGATTCTGTAAACGCTAAGAAACCTGAACTTTGACGTAGGAATTAGCAGTGTTCCCACGTCATCTTGAGTTGCCCTGTTACTAAAAGTGGAAGCATGATTATTGTAAGATGGGCCTGTGAAGCATTTTGTTCTTTTTTTAGTTTAGCAGTATGTTGTGGTGGGGTACCATATGGGGAATTCTGTAGTTCGTTTTTATACTGAGCACAAGTATGAGAATGATAAGGCTTCCATTTTCAAATCATGTTTGTTCTCTTTCTATAGTTTGGCTTTTTTGTACTGCACTGCAGACAGTTGGAATATTGGCTCTGTCTCGGGGGTTTTGGTCATTTTTCTGGTATATCACAGCTTCCTAACCTAGATCCTAATTAAAAGAGCCTGATGACTTGGCTTGTGAAGTGCCGACACTTCAACCATGAGCATAAACGCTGTCTGCTAATTAATGTACAGGCTGATTTAGATTTTGTCCATTTTAGATCTGATCATGAAAATTGTAACTAGGAACTCAACGTGATTCAAAGCATTTCTGTAAACATTTGTTCAAAATAGGTGACCTATGTCAGAAACACATCATCTGAGCAAGAGGAGGTGGTGGAAGCACTGAGAGAAGAGATTCGGATGATGAGTCACCTGAATCACCCCAACATCATCAGGATGTTGGGCGCCACATGTGAGAAGAGCAATTACAATCTCTTCATTGAATGGATGGCAGGTGTGCTCATGTGATAAATTATAAATAATACGTTTTATGGATTTAATTTTTTTGTTTGATACTCAATTTAGGAGAAACCGTTTAATGAACACTTATTTTTATCAAATGGTAGAGGCTTCTAAAGGCACCTGGCCCCAACATGTTAATAAGAACTTTTAAGTTGCCATATGCTTTGTCCTTCATTTAAATATAATGAAGGACTGAAAGTCAACAGAGTCCCTGTGTAAGACCTATACTTCCAGGTGGTTAGCAGTAATCACATTTGTTGCATTTTTTTGGAATGAGGCAGTATACAAATAAAATTATTTTAACATAAAATTATTGAAGTATAAGCTGGAGAAGCATTACAAGTAAGCTAGCAGTGAAGCACAAGGCAAAATAATGGTTGGGATTTCATTTGTATCCTGGAATCTAGTAAATGAATGATTTGGGATATGATGAATAAGTTAAGTCCTTGCTTTACCGTCATGACTTGTGTGTATATGGAGAATGCATTCTGCGGACCCAGCAGCTGCTCACTGCATTACCTGATGCCCTTCCCATACAGACATGGGAGCGGCCAGGCTCAGTGTTAAAACCCATTTCAGCTGAAGCTGCTGAGGGTGGGACTTGGATCCAAGCAGGAGCCGGTAGGCATCCAGTCACTCCCAGAGCCTACTTTCGAGTCGTCTGGCTCCTCTCCCCAGGCGCTTTGCTTCTGCTCGGTCACACGCACTGGGACTGGACTGTAGTCGTTACACATGTGTGTACTTTGGTTAGTCAGGCGAATGGCACATTTCAAAGAGTTCCGTGTAAAATTGATCTTTTGGTTTTGGGGTTTTTTTAAATCATTTCATTGGGGGTTCATACAGCTCTTATCACAATCCATACATCCATCCATTGTGTCAAGCACATTTGTACATATGTTGCCATCATCATTTTCAAAACATTTTCTTTCTACTTGAGCCCGTGGTATCAGCTCATTCCCACCCACAACCCACCCCATCCCTGCCAAACTTCCCTCCCTCATGAACCCTTGATAATTTATAAAAAAAATTTTTTCATGTGTTACCCTGACCGCTATCTCCCTGCACCCACTTTTCTGTTGTTCTGCCCCCTGGAAAGGAGTTATATGTTGATCAGAATTGATCGTTTTTAAGGCTTTCTGGAGTCACGGAGCTCTAAAAAAGCAGGTCTCTGAGGATTTTGTGAAAATTTTCCCAGTTTCTGTGTTTTGGAGATGATATAGAGATGTGTTGGTTTTTAATTAAAACCTAATTAATCTAATTTACTTTTGAGGTAGATTATAAATCTAACATTTCAGAAGTGAGTGCGATCTTCCACGCAATGTAGACTTAAGTAGCCACAGCGTGACAAACTCTTTTACTTGTGGCTTAAGTTTATTTTAATGGTGACTTTTTCTGCTTTGTCCTGTAGGCGGGTCTGTGGCTCATTTGCTGAGTAAATATGGAGCCTTCAAGGAATCGGTAGTTATTAATTACACTGAACAGTTACTTCGTGGCCTTTCGTATCTCCATGAAAACCAGATCATTCACAGAGATGTCAAAGGTAGGGATTCTTCGCATTATTACCCAATGGCAAGAAGAAAAGGGGTGCAGTTTAAGAACTTTGCTGATAGTTTCCAACTTGAGATTAGCTGTGCGACTGGTTCTTCCGACTAGAGTAAGGAATAGAAGGATTTTGAATCCACAAGAGACCGGGACTGCCAGTTGACACAGTCATTTATAGAGCCCGGTTTCTTGAATCCTTATGCCTCGTGCCTCCAAGAAAGTTCCCACTGCCAGTTTTATTTAGAATAAATTGAGATATCACCGAGAAATACAGGGAAAACATTTTATAATCTTATGCAATTTCCACTTTTATCAAGAGCGATTTTAGTTTTCTGTCATGAATCTCGTTAGCTCAGGTTTGAGGTGCTGCATTCAATTAATTTTAGGAAGTCATTCCTTAACCTCGCTGTAATTGTAAATTACATATATATAGTTTGAATGGGCCGATGTCAGTAGGTTTCCACAGAACTTTATCTTAAAACACAAACTATGACCAAATTCAGACTTGGGGAAGAAATTGCACTGGGAATCAATCTTGAAGTTTCGCTTATGCCTTGGTACCGAATGCATTGTTCAGAATTTTCCCCTGCGGTTTCGGTACTGTTTGTACTGTAAGGACCTTGTTCCTTTAGCAGTAAGGGAGTGACGTGAAGTGGACACTTCCCTTGTCTGGACCTGACAAGCTGCATGCTTCCTTCTTCCACGGTCTCACTTGCTTTGGAGTATTTCCCTGGGTTGCCGTCTGTCAGCATGGTTGTTCACAGGCAACATCATCTGCTGTTTTGTTGACAGGTGCTAACTTGCTAATCGACAGCACAGGTCAGAGGCTTAGAATTGCAGATTTTGGAGCTGCAGCCAGGTTGGCGTCAAAAGGAACTGGTGCCGGAGAGTTTCAGGGACAGTTACTGGGGACAATTGCATTTATGGCACCTGAGGTAAGAGCAGCTTTTAATGTGATAGGACAAAATATTTTGGAGTTCTGCATAACAGCATTATACCCCTTTTCTTTGCATTGCTATCTGTTACATGCTTATATATCAGAAAGAAGCCTGGGTGACATGTTGGGCTAATTATTAGGCTGCTGACTACAAGAGTAGTAGTTCAAGTCCATCAGGTGGCTCACAGGAGAAAGGTGAAGCTGTCTGCTTCTGGGAAAGATTCGCAGCCTCAGACGCCCGGTGGTGGGACAGATCCACTGTCTTGTAGGGCCCCTGTGTTGTTTTTTATTAGAAGGTTATCTCTGTTCCACAGAGAGATGTGCACACAGAAGCAGGATCCGTCAGTAGGGAATGGAAGTGAAGCACTGCTGCTCTGAACGGCCTGTTCGTACCCAGTGGTCATTGTGGCCATCTTGCCCTTTAGGTCACCAAGAGCAGTTGTGTTGCTTTGCGACTCGGTGATGTGACTGACTCTTCAAAATCGCACAATTCTCCAGTGTCTTTCTGCCACATAAACAGAGTTGTTAGCAAGCTCAAGCAGCAGCAGGTGGCCTGTGTGATTGCTGAGGCAGGAGCATTGCTGTCTGTCACTCGTGGTGCCCTGAGTTAAAATCCTAGAACCCGTTCTCCCAAAGGGCTTTCTCTTTTTGTAACAGGTTGTAGTTCCCAATTCACCCTCTGCCTTCTTTCAGGTTCTAAGAGGCCAGCAGTATGGACGGAGCTGTGATGTGTGGAGTGTTGGCTGTGCCATCATAGAAATGGCTTGTGCCAAACCTCCTTGGAATGCCGAAAAACACTCTAATCATCTTGCTCTGATATTTAAGGTACTGGTGAGATAAAAATTGATCTCATAGTTTCCCTTTTTACTCTCCGTATAGTGAGAATGTTGTCTTCTTTGAAATCATTGTAACTGTAGATCTCTCTGGGAATTTATACGGTGTGACGAACCTTGGTGGCATATAACATAATAGAAGTAGCACTTTGTATCTGTCTTTTTAAACTAAAGAGTTTTCCACTTCACTTTCTATTAAAAACTTTTAAAATCTGAAGTCCTTCATATATTATAGATAATACAAAAATGGGTTTTTTAAACTCTGATTTACCCTTTGCTTTATTTCAAGAATTCACGCCCATATCCACTTCCAAGTGCTGTCCATTCTACCTTTGGGTCAGACATGTGGTTAGCAGCAAGGGTTCTGGAGTCTAATCCGCTTGGTTTCAAATCCTGCCTCATCCTTCCTGGCCACATGTCTGTAGCAAAATGATTATCTGTGCCCTCTGTTTCCTCATTTGTCCAATAATGGCACCTGCTTCATGGATTATTATGAGGAGTAAACAAAATTACCTGTGAGCCTTAGTTCACAGAGTCCCAGGTCTGGCCATTAGTTCAGTGCTAGTGCTCTGAGGGAGGCCCCATACTCTCTCTCCTGCTGTAATCTCTTCCGTCCTGATGTCTAACCACCGTCTTCAGCCACCTCTGACCAGAGCTGTTCTGTGTCATCACTCTCTTCCTCCAGGCTGCATGCTTCCCCGGCCCCATTTCTATGTGGTTCCCCCTGTGAGCCTCCTTCAGCCCACATCCAGCCTCTTCCTCCAGGCTGACTTTGCTCGCAGCCGCCCAGCCCCCACAGCACTCCTGTGTGCTGGCCTCCTTCCATCCTTTCCCACCAGCTCC